TTCAAAATTTAATCAATTTAATTTTTTACATTTAATTAAATTGTAATATAATTGGGTTTAAGGAGGCCTCTAATGTAGAGATATAAGCTTCCACTCTTCCAACGTCCCCTGATTCTTCAACATGCCAATACCTGTCACGTATTCTTTCCGTTAGTTCAACCACAGAAACTCTTCGATTTTCGGCTCCTTTTTGTTGCTCTGTCTGCACATATTCTACAAATGACCCCTGACTTTCATATACCTCGAATCCACTTTCTTCAAACATTTCCTGAAATCTTTTCCATACTTCAGCAGTTAGCAACTTATTACCGTACATATTCTCATGAAAAATATGTTTGCATGGCAATAAATATCGATTATAAAAAAGGCAGTGACAATCGAGCGAAGTTAAACCCGGTGTTCCTTTTCCTTTTTCAAGTCTATTAATTACACTACAAGCCTCTCTAATAAGTAAGTTTTGGAATGGAAAAGGAAACTTATGGATTTCTTCCATAATATCATTATCGACTCCATAGGCAGATGCTTTTTTAATATGAAAGTTAAAAGTGGCACTTTCCACTTCGGATCTTTTTTTACAATCAATATTAACGATGCTATGAACAGCACCTAAAATAAAATAAAAGAATTATAAGTAAATAGATAAAAAAAATCAAACACTAATAAAAAAAACACTATATATACCGATTAAACCATGTAATGACGACGTTATTTTCTTCAATTCACTATGAAAAGACTCCAAAGGATTCGTAGATGTAACCTGTAAAAGCAAGGGAGAGTGTTGACGAGCCCACAAACCCCATTGCTGTGTATTATTCATATAGTTCCTTTTAATATAATTTTTTATAGCTGGCACAGAGCAACGACTAATAGCGTCCTGAACAAAGTTTTCACAGCCAACCTTCGTTCGTTTGTGCATTGCCACGATCATGATGTCATGGATTTCTTTTTCATATATTCGTTGCATCCATGTTCTCATAACATGAACGATACAAAAAATAATTTGGCATTCTTGCTCACTAGCAGTTATACCAGGAAAAGTTTTTTTAATACTTTTGGCCTCAATGCTGCTCTGATCCAAAAGCATATAACGGGGAGACCAACGACAGCACTTCTTACGAACTATCAACAGTGCTTCAGCAACCATGTCACTATCTTCACTACTCACAAAAAAGTGAGCCCCTACATTCCAGCAACCATAAGTATCACGAATATAAAGCGTAAACAGACGCCAGTCGTACCGATTGGTCTTGTGAGTTGAGTCAATTAATGTCAACCACCCATGTCTTTCAAGTTTTTTTAGTTGATACGGATGCACAAACACAATACCCTTAGTAGACCGTTGAGAAACAGAATACCTTTCAACAAGATAACCTTTTTCTATCAAATAAGATATGGATTCTGATATATCTAACTTTAAATTTGAATTTCCAATAAGGTGAGCTTCCATCGGCCCACGAACTTTGTATTTAATGTTCGTTACTTCTTTGCGTGTCAGCTCACATACACTCGAACCGAGGCCTAATTTATTTGCTGCGTATTCTTTAACTGCTAATGTAATTGCAGGAGGAGGATAGTTTTTGACTGCTTCATTTTTAACTAAATCTCGTATAACTTTTGACCTCTTTATCCTATCGCTCTCTGATAAAGAGTGCGCGTGATCGGGAGAGTTATTATATCGTTTAATCTGGACTATATTTGAAGCAACTAACTAAGAAACTTCAATTTTTGCATAACACAAGCCAGATGGCCGTGTCTTCGTCACTCTACGTTTTTCATTTGGAATATTTTCTTTCTCTCGGGAACTTGATTCACTATGCTTAGTAAAGTGGCAGGTAAAAACCTTTCGAATATCGCCGTTTACTTGTTTGTAAGAACCCCATTGTGTCCAAAAATTAGAGACTACTGGCCACCAGTTGTCATTAAAGTCTTCACTTTGTATTTCCAAAAGACCATTTACATCAAAAAGAT